GCCAGTGGGCCCACCTGTTCACTGATGGGGAGGATGGGGGCGGGGCGAGTTTGACGAGGTCCCCTGCTTCTTTCCAGGCGCTGCAGTTCTCTCGCTGAGCTTAATTGGGTGGTTCTAACGTGGAGCACGTCTGAGTCCAGCAGACACGGCCCAGTGAGGCGGACCGGGGAATGCTGAGACTGGGAGAATCCCAGCGGCCCGTCTCTAGTGAAGTTGGTGCCACTTTGCGTGGAGTTTATTTATTCCATTTAATAAACCGGCTGCAGAGGTTGATAGCACGCGTCACGAACCTTCCTCCGTCGACCGAGCTATAAATATGCAGCTCGTGCTGCTCTGATCCAACGTATCAGCCCGATTTGTTTTTCCAATTTATTTAATTAAAACACATAATGGTGCTGTTGGCTTCAGGAAGGTGTGCGGAAAAATCCCGATTTCACATGGCAGTGGGTCCGAAAGCACTGCCCTCTTCCAGCACGGGGAGGGTGGCCGCCCCGATGCTACCGGCTGCCCGCCCCGCGCTGCCTCTGCGAGGGTCCGACCGCAGTGCTTGCGCCCTCCTGCCCTGGCTGCGGGAGGGGTGGTTTGGCCTCCGGAGGAACCCCGGGGAGCTCACAGATCCGCGTTACTTACAAACGCGTCTGCTTGTTCTCCTTGCACAAAGACCTCAGGGTGACCGTCCTGGAAAAAAGCGCCCACAACACAGTGGAAAATCTCGAGGCAGCGTTAAACTGTATTACAGACAAAGGGAAACAAGCAGGGGTGAGTGAGAAGAGCCGGGCCCGGGGAACCCTCCGCGGGGAATGCTACCCGGCGTGCAGGTGGGAGACCCAGGGGAGGCAGACGTCGTGGGGGGGCACTGGCTCCTGTGCTCGGGACAGAGGCGGGAGGCCCGTGCAGGACGCCTCACGGAGCCCCGGCCTGCGCGTGTCGCTACCGGCCGCCCCGCGGGTCGGGCCGCTGCCCCCTCCTGCGCTCTGAGAAGGGCGGGCGCTAGGCTTGCGGAGCCGGCTGCCGCCAGCTCCGCTGATGTGTGATTGGCCCCTACGAAACGACAGACACCCAAGGGGTGCCGGGTGGTGCCGCACTGACCCCACCGCTGTGGCTCGTCGTCGCCCCTGCGTCGCCCGGCCTCCCCCGCCGGTCATTTTTGTAGCGGGAGCAGAGTGTGATCTGCTGTCTTGGCGGATCCAAGCTCGTGACGCCGAATCATTAGCGTGCTCCTGTCCCCTTGCTGCGTGTGAGGCCCGCACGTCTCATTGCCCTCACGCCTGGAAGCGAGTACGCTCTCA